GAGATCGCACCACTACTCTCCAGCCTGGGGGACACAGCAAGGCTCTGTCTCAAAAAAAAAAAAAAAAAAAAAAAGAAAAGAAAAGTGCAGTGTAGGCTAAATAGGAATGTACACATGGGAGCAGATGACACTGTGGTGGCTTTTACTCTTTATGAGAACAAGGAACCCCGGCAAGGAACTCAGAAGATTCTGCTTACCCTGCCCCTTCGTGATAAGAAATGTTGGGAAGTGATCAGTCTGCTCCTGGCCTCTCCTCCTGCTCTCTGGGGCAGCGCTCACTCCAGCACTCTCTCTCAGCTGTCCAGGACCCTCCCACCACTGTGGTGCCCCTCTCAGACCACTCTCCCAGAGCTCAGACAGGACTCAGGAACAAGGAGATTCACTCATTCTCTTTAAGGCAGCATGTTCAGAAGAAATGTTACATGAACCACATATGTAATTCTAATTTTTTTGTCCACATGCCAAAGTACAAGAAATTAATAATATATTTTATTTAATCCATCTTATCTAAAATATTCTCATTTTAACATATAATAAATATTAAACATTAATGATGACATATTTTCCTTTTGGTCCTACTAAGTCTACAAAATGCAACGTGCATTTTAGGCCTACAGCACATCGCAGTTTGAACTGGCCATATTTCAGTTGCTTAGAGGCATATGTGACAGGTAGCTGCTGTATTAGACAGTGCAGCTCTAAGGTAGAAATGAGTAATCCATGCAGGCTGCCTTACCCAAAAAAATAGGACATGGTAGGATTTCAGTTTCCTTCAAATCACACCACAAAGATGCCTCCAAATTCTTCTAGTCCTGCATCAGGGCTGTCAGACTCAGGGGGCTTAGCGGATAAAGCATGAGTTGTTGTTGTTTTGAGGAAGGTGTTGCTCTGTTACCTAGGTGAGAGTGCAGTGGTGCCGTCATAGCTTACTGTAGCCTTGGACTCCTGGGCTCAAGTGATGCTTCCACCTCAGCCTCTTGAGTAGCTGGGACCACAGGTGCATGCCACCATGCATAGCTAATTTTTAAATTTTTGTAGAAATGGGGTCTTACCATGTTGCCTGGGCCAGTCTCAAGCTCCTGGCCTCAAGCAATCCCCCTGCCCTGGCGTCCCGAAGCACTGGGATTACAGGTGCGAGCCCAGTAAAGCATGAGTCTTCTACTCAGGCAAGCTTGAACTCGGGTCTGAGTTCTGCCACTCTCTAGTTGTGTGACGCTGAACAAGTTGCCTACCTTCAGAACTTGTTTGCTCATGTGTGAAGGAGTGTAGGGCTTCCTGGCAGGTCCCAGTGAAGATGGAGCAGGCTCATGTATGCGTAGCTACTGGCTTGTATACCAGTGGCCTGGCAGGTCCTGGAATCGCAGACCCGCTAGCCCTGGTGTGCTCTGTGAACCCTTTGCCTGTCTCGGAACCATCAGCCATTCAAGAGCTTCCTTGAGGCTTGATGGCATCTCCCCTTGCTTTCATTTTTTTCCCCCAAAAGCCTGGCATTGGCTACACCCACCGCTGGTTAGAACCATCTCTTGCACTCCTTTTTCAATACCTATTTACTAGATAACCACTATTTCACCCTAGGCCCTTGCTAGGCATGAGGATTTCAACAGAAAACAAGATAAACATGAATCCTGCTCTTGCAGAGCTCCGGGTCCACCAGGGGAGAAAGGCGTCAAATGAGGTTGGCCTCAGACCTAAGCATGTATAAAATAGACATTCTTTATTTTCCTTAAAAATCAACTTAATTTCTACTCTGAATTCCCATCCTGCCAGATCATCAGGAAATTCAATCGCAGTCTTTCTTAGAGTTCTCTGACCAAGGTGAGGCCAAGGTCCTGTGGTCTTACACAGTGCCCAAGCACCAGGGAGCCCCCGCCTCCACCCCAGCAGACATCAGCACCAGCCCACTGTGGTCATGGTGATGCCCACTTGCCATCCTGGCCCATGCAGTTTGGAGCAGAGTCTTGGTGAGGGTGGGAACGTGGGAGCCCAGCCTCCCTAGGTCAGCCTGCATTCTGCCCCTTGGAGGTGAATTGTTTCTGTGAGCCCTATTTCAGAGGGTACATGGCTCCTCACTGCTCATGAAACCCACAGACTGCTCTGTCTCTGCCCCATCCTCTTTTCCAGGCTTTATTTTAGGGAAGATGGTATTGTTTTCCCCTCGTCCTCAGAGCCTCCCTCTCTCCTCATGCCCACCACAACACTCAGCAGAGTCTTCTCAAGGGACTCAAGCTTTGGAAACAAACAACAGGAAGGGAAATCCGGCAACCCATTACTGCTTTCTGCCCTGCCACGAACATTCCCCGAGGACAGGAAACCCAGAGCCTGCTCCCTGCTGGAACGAAAGAAGAGAGAAGAAAGGGACAAAAGCCCTAGGGAACAAACACATGAATTAATAGTTGAATGAATTGTCCCGCTGGGACAGGCCAGCCTTGAGCCAGCCAGCCTCAGGAAGCCAGGTGGGGGAGGCATGGAACAGGGGACCCCCCCAAAGTGGTGGTTGACATGAAGGTTCTGAAATGTGGGGAAATCCAGTGTTTGCCTCATGATGATCTCACAGAAAAAACAAGGTGGCTCAAGTGATCCTCCTTCCTCAGCCTCCTGAGTAGCTGGGGCTACAGGCGTGTGCCACCATGCCTGGCTGATTTTTTTTTCTTTTTAAGACAGAGTCTCACTCTGTTGCCGAGGCTGGAGTGCAGTGGCACGATCTTGGCTCACTGCAACCTCTGCCTCCCAGGTTCAAGCCATCCTCCGGCCTCAACCCTGCTAGGAGCTAGGATTACAGGCACGTGCCAACCATGCCAGGATAATTTTTTTTTTAGAGGGAGTCTTGCTCTGTTGCCCAGGCTGGAGTGCAGTGGCAAAATCTCAGCTCACTCCTCCACCTCTTGAGTTCAAACGATTCTCATGCCTCAGCCTCCCGAGTAGCTGGAATTACAGGTGCCTGCCACCATGCCTGGATAATTTTTGTATTTTTAGTAGAGGCAGGGTTTCATCATGTTGGCCAGTCTGGTCTAAAACTCCTGACCTCAGGTGATTTGCTCGCCTCAGTGTCCCAACGTGCTGGGATTACAGGCATGAGCCACGGTGCCTGGTGGATTTTTTTTTTTTTTTTGAGACGGAGTTTTGCTCTTTTTTGCCCAGGCTGGAGTGCAATGGCGCGATCTCGGCTCACCGCAACCTCTTCCTCCTGGGTTCAAGCAATTCTCTGCCTCAGCCTCCTGAGTAACTGGGATTACAGGCATGCGCCACCATGCCCAGCTATTTTTTTTATTTTTAGTAGAGATGGAGTTTCTCCATGTTGGTCAGGCTGGTCTCGAACTCCCGACCTCAGGTGATCCACCCACCTCAGCTTCCCAAAGTCCTGGGATTACAGGTGTGAGCCACCATGCCCAGCTTTTTTCTTTTTTAATTTTTAGTAGAGACGAGGTTTTGCCATGTTGCCCAGGTTGGTCTTGAACTCCTGGGCTCAAATGATCCACCCACCTCAGGCTCCCAAAGTGCTGGAACTACAGGCATGAACCATCGCACTCAGCCTGGCCATAAGTCTTCTTCCAGGGAATTTTTTGCTTCTAATTCTGGCCTCAGCCTACATAGAAAAATGTAACTAAATTAGACTCCACTTGCTCACTTGTATTCAAATGACCCTGTGCCCATAGCAACTTCTCCAAGATTTAGTTTCCTCATCTGAAAAATGTGCACAGTAATAGTACCTGCCTCACACAGTTTCGAGTTAGAGAAATGTAGGTAGAACACTCTGGGCACTTGGCCTTGGTTGCCTGCTTCCTTCAGGGTGTACCAGTGAAGTGCTCAGTCTCAGGAGCCAAGCTGTCTGGGTTCAAATCCCAGCTGCACCACTGTGTGGCTTGAAACAAGTTATTTTCTCCCTGTGTCTCTGTTTTATCACGTGACAGAAAGGGATTATTGTGGTGTCTACTCCATTTTTTTAAAATGATTTTTGACTCTTATTTCCTTCTCCAAGTTGTTGGTATAGACGTATCTACTTCAGGAGGTTGTGAGGTTTCAGTAAGGTTTTAGTCATTATAAGAGTGCCCAGCATACAGTAAGTCCTTAGTAGGCATTACCGTTATTTATCATTATTTCCTTTCTTCTTTCTGACAGTCAGAAGATAGTGATTGTGCCCCCTCCCCCAACATGCACAATATTCTCTTCCTTCCTTTTTCAAGAGTTGTACATAGACTGTCCCCACCCAGGTGGAGGGATGCACTCCAGGATGTCCATGGGCATCTTCCTAGCTTGGACCCAAAGCTGATCCTGTCCTCTGGGTGTGGCCTGATTCATCCAAGAGGACCAGTGACAGTGGGAGTGAAGATTGATTGGACTGGTGTGTTGGTGTTTTGAGTAACATTGGTGGTGATGATGGCAACGGCAATGGAGATGAGGTTGGTGATATTGATCCTGGTGAAGACAGCGGTAGTGGTGATGATGTCAGAGGCAGTGATAATGACATTGGTGATTCTGATCGTCATCATGGTGGTGGTGATTCTGAAGTTTCGAGTGACAGTGATAATGATGATGGTACTGCTGGTCGTGAACATGACAGAGGCAACAATAACAATCCTCATATCGTGATGCTAATGTCATGACTAAATTTGTCATTTAGTCTCAGTGATATGGGTCATGTGAGTGAGGGTGATATTTAATGTGATAGGGGTAGAAATGATGACGATTATGGTGGTGATTTTCATGAAAATGTTGGTGATTATTATGATGTTAATAATGGTCATGACAACTAACCCACATGGACACTGGCAATAGTGGTGACAAAGCTTAACCACAAGAATTTTATTCACTCTTTCAAAACCATTCGTGGGGTACCTATAGGGCCAAGAACAAGTGGAACACTGTAGGCCTCAGTTGCTTCTGATGAGATGACAGGGCCCTCACCCTCTCCTTTCCAAGACCTCTCCTCCCCAGCCCACAGCCATCTCTGAGTGGGATCACTGGCCTCCAATGGACTGTCCTTGCTTTGGTGTCTCCTTTAGGGCAAGGACTCTCCCACTGAGCAGAGGCCTGGGGAGTCCACGAAGAAGCAGGATGGCCCAGTCCAGATTGCACCAAACCTGACTGTGATCCAGTTCATCAAAGGTAAGTCAGCTCAGACCAGGATACGGGGGGCCAGGGCCAGAGCGGCCCTCAAGGCTATACAGGATCCAGTCCTTCCTGCCTTTTTTGATTCATCTTCTCCACCTGCAGACCCCTCATGAGCACCATCTACTCCATGTGAGTCTTTGCACATGTGATTCTCTCTGCCTGGACCATCATTTTCTGCTGCTGTCAAAACCTTCCCTATGGGCCAGGCGTGGTGACTCACACCTGTAATCCCAGCACTTTGGGAGGCCAGATCACTTGAGGTCAGGAGTTTGAGACCAGACTGGCCAACATGGTTAAACCCCATCTCTACTAAAAATACAAAAATTAGCCAGGCATGGTGGTGGGCGCCTGTAGTCCCAGCTACTTGGGAGGCTGAGGCAGAAGAATCACTTGAACCCGGGAGACAGAGTTTGCAGTGAGCCGAGGTGGTGCCACTGCACTCCAGCCTGGCAACAGAGCGAGATGCCGTCTCAAACAAAACAAAACAAACAAACGACAACAACGAAAACCTTCCCTATCCCTCTAGGACCGGCTCAAAAGCCACTACTTTCTCCACATGTCCAGCTCTCCCACCCAGCAAGGCTGTTTCTCTCCCTCTTTGGCTCTCAGAACCCTCAGGCGTTCTAGATCAGATCTGAGCTGTGCTCCTGAAAGTCAGGCCCTTGCTGGCTCATCTATGACCCTTCCTCTCCTCCCACCTGCCACTGAGCCTGCAAATGGGAGACCATCAGGAAACTGTCAAAGGCAGTGTGGCATGGGCGGAGAGCACTCTGGGCTAAAATCCAGAACTTGGGCTTTTGTCCTTGATCCCATTCTTTTCTGGGCCTCCGTTTCCCCATCTACAGAGTGAGGAGTAGACTCAGTGACCTAAGGTCTGTGAGGCCATGATCCTGAGACTATGAACTCAGTCTTTCAGTAACCAGAGTACACATTACGACCAGGCCATTCTTTCTCAAGATTATGATCCCATAAGTATTGATTGAGTGCCAACCGTGTGCTCAGCTCTTACAGAGCCCTGGAGGGCATATCAGAGGACTTGGATTTGAGTCCTGCCCCTAACAGTGACCAGCGTACAATCTTAAAGAAGTTAGTTTTCTTTTCTAAATTGAGTTTTCTCATCTGGAAGATTGGATCAATAATCCTTGCTCTGCCTCTCTCAAGGGCTACTATGAGAATCAAATGAGATGAAGAATGGAAAGCCTCTTTATGCTATTAAAAAAAACTGTACTCATATATAAGGTACAATTATTTCAGTTATTGCTCTTGGTCTACTGTTGTTCTGACCATGCTCTAGGATAGTAAATTGAGGTGCCTGTGGTTTAGGAGGGTAATATCCATAGGGGTTGCTTCATTCCTTACTGAGGATTTCTGCAGCAGGAAGGAATTAAGCTGTTCTTGGGAAGAGATTCCTAAGATTTGATGTTGGGGCAGGACATGGTGGCTCACACCTGTAATCCCAACACTGTGGGAGACCAAGGCAGGAGGACCTCTTGAGCCCAGGAGTTTGAGACCAACCTGGATAACATAGGGAGACCCTGCCTCTTCAAAAAAAAAATTAAAGAATTAGCGGGGTTGGTGGTGCACACCTGTGGTCCCAGCTACTGGGGAGGCTGAGGTGGGAGGACTGCTTGAGCCTGGGAGTTTGAAGCTGCAGTGAGCTCTGATCTCACCACTGTGCTCCAGTCTGGGTGACTGAAAGAAACCCTTTCTGAAATTTAAAAAAAAAAAGACTTGGTATTGGGATATTAGTAATCTAGCCCCCAGTTTTCTTTGTATGGGGCTGGGCCCAGAGGCAGGGGCTGGGACTCCTTAGCCTCAGGCCACCCCCAGATGCTATTAGGCCCCCTGAGCTGCTGAATTGCTTATTAATCACTGTTTTGGCTTCTGCCAGGAGGGAAGCTGGGGCCAGTTGCTGAAATTGGAACCTAGAGTGAGTGTTCTAGGCCAGATTGTCTCTGGTGATTTCAGCTTCTACATGATCTGGGAGGCCCTGTGGCCAGTGAGCCAAGCTGGCTTCTGCTGAGCTCCAGGGGCCAGTCTGACTGTAGGGCCTGGTCTTGACCACCTGGGACCATGGCGAAGGCCAAGGGAGGAGGAAGCATAGTCCTTCAGATGGAGGAGCCCTACACTCTTGTGGAAAGATAATCCCTGAGTTAGGAAAGGCCCCTGTCAGATGGGGGAGACATAGTCTCTGAGCTGGGGGAAGCCCCTATCAAATGGGAGAGAGATAGTCTCTCTGATGGAGGATATATAGTCCCTGAATGGCGCGAGACCCTGCCTTGTCTGATGGAAGAGACCTGATGGAGAAGGCCCCTGTCTGATGATGGAGACATAATCCTTGAACTAGAGGAGGTTCCTGTCTAATGGGGGAGACATTGCCCTTGAGTTAAGGGAAGCCCCTAACTAACTGAAAGAAGCATAGTCCCTAGACTGAGGGAGAACCTGTCCTATTTGAGAGAGGGTGCCTGACCTCTAGCTGGGCGAGGCTCCTGGCTGATGAGGAAGACAGTCACTGACCTGAGGGGGGCCCTGGCTCGTCTGCTGGGGGAGACACTGTGCTATGCTAAGGGAACCCGTCTCCTGGGAAACATCTGCCTCAGAGCTGGAGATGGGCCCTGGAATTCCCCTGCAGGTAGCCCTATCGAAGTGAAAGGCATAGCCTCTGCCCTCCAGGAATTTTCCATCTATTCCAGAGCCAGGCTGTGGATGCTGAGGAGAGATGGGGGATGGGTATAAAACACACTGCAGTGATCGGTGCAGGAGAATGGGCTGGAAGCAATCCATGAGATGGGGCCCTCTGGAGTCAGGCAGCCAGAGAGGCACAGGAATGGGGGAGGATGGACCTTGTTCTAGGAGTCTGGAGACCCCAGGAAACTCCTGGCCTTACACTGGCCTCTCTGGATGAACTTGGGTGAGTCCCTGCCCATCTCTGGACTCTACCATGCAGTAAGAGCACCTGTACAACCTGGGCCATGCCAGATTGAAATTCATGGCTCAATACAGGACCTCAGATGCCCTGGAGAGCAGCTCATGGCAAGAAGGCTAAGCAGCTACCTGGGGTCAGGGTGAGCCTTGCAGCTCCTCACTCAGGCTGGTTGAATGCATAGTATGCAGCAAGGAACCAGGGACCAGGAGGCAGGCCTGGCATATAAAAGAGGGGGAATTCCACAGCCCCCACCCACCCTGCCTGAACTGTTTGTCTTTATTTTCTGGCTTCCAAGGAAACAGAGCCTAGCCTGGCCCAGGGGGCTAGGGAAGCAGCTGGTTTGGCCATGCTCTGAGGACAGACAGAAATCTTCCCATGACAGATGCCCTGGTCCTGCTGCTGCAGGAACAGAAGGAACCCCCCACCTGGCCCAGAGAACCCGCATGGCCCCACCAGCCTGGCCTGGGAAGTGGATTGCTCCTCTTCCTCCATACCTGATATTTGACTTCAGTCCTGCCTATTAGCAGAAACACATGTTAGTGGAAAGAGGATTTCACGTGTCAGAACAGAAAGTGCCCTTGACACTTTCACCTGGGCTGCACCTACCAATGGGCATCACCTGGCTGCTGGAGCCCAGAGAGGAAAGGACTTACCTACCCTTTCGTGCCCTTCAATTTAGCAGACTTGCAATGGCGGCAACCTATGAATGAGGCACTATTTTAGGAGCTAGCAGGAGACTGGGGATGTCATTATTGCCAGAACAGTCACTTTTTTTCCTTTCTCCAAGCATTTGCCCCTCCTGTGCCCCCACTCAATTCCTTTTCGTCCTCACTTCACCTCACCAGATCCCCCCATTCTTTAGGGCCTAGCTCTGTCCCACCTCCAGGAAATCTCCCAGCACCAAGCTTGAGGGAGGTCTTTGATTTGTATCACATCTCTGGAGGTCTTTGATTCTGCCCCAGACATACTGACAATTTAATCACATATTAGTCCGTTTGTCCATTCATTACTTCCTTCATTCCACGAATTCACGAATTCAAGTGCCTCCTATGTCCCAAGCTCTGGAGATTCAACAATGAACACAACAAACAAAACCCCCTGATCTTTTAAAGGCAGCTTACATTCTAGTAGGGTGACAATAAAACAGCTGGATGAGTGAAAGGTATAGTACATTGGGTGGAGGGCTGTGGAGAAACACAAGCTAGGGATGGGGAGATCAGGGCAGGGGATTGGGGCCTGTGTTGGGATGCAGGAGAGGATGAAGGCCTGGGTGGCTCGGAAAAAGCTGTAGCAGGACAGGATGGAACGAGCTGGGCTGGACGGGGGAGAGGAATGAATACGTAGAATAGAAAAAATGAAATGACATGGGATGGAATGGATGAAATAGAATCAAATGGGATGGCATGGATCCAAACTATACGGAATGAAATAGAATTGAATGGAAAAAAAACACACACAGAGCATAAGATACAGTCTAACTCAATGGAACAGATTGAAACAAAATTTCAAAAATAAACTAGAATAAGGGCCAGGTGCCGTAGCTCACATCTGTAATCCCAGCATTTTGGGGGGCCGAGGTGGGATGATCACTTGAGGCCTAGGGTTCAAGATCAGCTTGGCCAACATGGCAACACCCATCTCTACTAAAACCCATCTCTACTAAAACCCATCTCTACTAAAAAAACAAAAATTAGCCAGGCGTGGTGGTGCATGCCTGTAGTCCCAGCTTATCAGCAGGCTGAGGCACAAGAATTGCTTGAATCCAGGAGGCGGCGGTTGTAATGAGCTGAGATTGCACCACTGCACTCCAGCCTGGGCAACAGAGTGACATTCTGTCTCAAAAAAAAAAAAAAACAAAAAACAGAAAAGAAAAAAGAAAAAGAAAAAGGACTAGAATAAATGGAATGGAGTCAAGTGGGATAAAATTGATTGCAATAGAATTAAGAGGAATGGGATGGGTTGGAAGGAAAGGAACCACTTGAACCAAGCAGAGCAGGAGGGCAGTCTCCACTGGACGGCTTGGCTGCCCTGCCTGCTCTTACCTCCTCTGTACTCACCCCCACAGTCTTCCCCAAGGTGCTGCTGCAGACCCTACGCCACCCCACCTTCCTGCTGGTGGTCCTGTCTCAAGTCTGCTTGTCATCTATGGCTGCAGGCATGGGCACCTTCCTGCCTAAGTTCCTGGAGCGCCAGTTTTTTATCACAGCCTCCTACGCCAACCTGCTCATCGGCTGCCTCTCCTTCCCTTCGATCATCGTGGGCATTGTGGTGGGTGGTGTCCTGGTCAAGCGCCTCCACCTGGGCCCCGTGGGCTGCAGTGTCCTTTGCCTGCTGGGGATGCTGCTGTGTCTCTTCTTCAGCCTGCCGCTGTTCTTCATCGGCTGCCCCAGCCACCAGATTGCAGGCATCATCCACCAGCCCGGGTGAGTGTGTGTGTGGACACATGAAGACAAGCCTGGGAGGGTGGGACAGGGAGGAAGGGGGCCCTAGGCCGAGGCCAGGCCAGAGGGGTGCTCCCCGCCTCCAATCTCACCCCCCCACCTCTACTTAACAGCCTTTTAGAGATTCCAGTCAAACAGTGGGGTGCTCCAGAAGGCTCTAGGGAAGGTGTCAGGCACCACTGGAAGGGGTACTCATGGGACTTTAGGGGCAGAAACTCTCAAGCCCGGGGAGGCGTGGAGGCTGAGACAGGGTAGAATCCATGGGAAGGCATCTCCAGAGTGACCAAGCCCTGTGGGCACAACAGAGGTGGGGCAGAAGCCTCATTACAGGAGGCAGGACCAGCTCAGCTGGAGGAATGGCCTGCCCAGGAGGGAGCATGCTCTCCGTCCCAGGATGAGAGGGTGTGAGAGGGTGAGCAAGGGGCTGGATGGCCCCTGTCTGGGAGGCTGCACGGGGGACTCAGGCAGGGAAAAGATTGGGCTGCAGACCTCTGACATTCTGTGTTTTAGAGCTTGAGAGCTGAAATTCTGTTTCTCCATGGCTCTAAAATTACAGAGTTCTTTTTCCACATCTGCAAGGCAGCACCTGCCTCCGCCTTCCGGGGGAAGGCTCTTGATGCCTACCTGTCATTCTCCCTCACCACTTTACCCTTGGGAGCCTTCTTGGAGAGGAGGTTGGAAGTTACGTTCCTGCCTCTTCTCCAGAATGATTTCATTTTTCCTGGAACTACTCCAGGCTTAGGTTGGCCCAAAACTCAGCTAGAATTTCCCAACTTTCTCTGTCTCCACCTCTCCTTCTTGGCATCTTCTGCCTTCATCCAGGCGCTAGCTTTCCTCACGGGGTGGGAGGGGTTGGTTCCTCCTGCATGGCTGTCAGGGGCTCAGCTCAGGGCCAGGGAGCACCCAGCCCTTCCCTGTCTGTCCCAGGTCCCACCCTCGACGGCCTCTCCCCCATCTCCCCTCCCTCTTCCTCCCCGTTTCATTCTCTGCCTCTCTTTTCCCAAAAAGGTAGGCAACTCCACTCTCTAGACTGGGGCCTCCTGTGTGCAGAGCCCTGTTCTAGGCATGGCAGCGGGGACTTTAGCCACGTCCTCAGGAAGCCCCTGATGTGAGGAGGGAGCCAGGTCCTCAATCAAATGATTTTGAGAGTAAAACGTAAATGGATATTTTGCCACAATTTTTTAAACAGTACGTGGGAGAAAAAGTCAACTCATCCCATAGGCCCATCTCTCTTTTCTTTTCCCTTTTACACCTTAGCTTTGACATCTCATGTCACCTGTGTTCTCATTGAAACTCTCGCAGTTTATTCACTAAGCTCTGGGTTCTGATTCACTGAGGAGGCCATTTGGGACCAACTGAGCTAGGCAAGAAGAACTCTCCATATCCCTGCACAACCACAGGTACCAATAGCTGCAAGAAGCGAAGGTCTCCCACACGTTGAGCGTCTTCTCATATTGCGTCTCAAACCTCCATGGGATCTCTGTAATGGGTCCTGTTATTAGCCCCATTTCACAGATGAGTACAGTGAGGCTTAGAGGGGTGAAGTGACCCCCACAGCTAGAACAGAGTAGAGCCTGGGTCCAGGACTCTTTCCACAGAAGCAATCAGCTCCAGGTGGTCAATGAGAGCGAGGGATGGAGGAAGGGCCCCCTAGCTCTCACCTGCTCAGCCTTCTAGCTGCTGGCAGAGGGTTCTAGGAAGTGCCTCTCCCTTGGCAGAGTCCCCGGCACAGCCTCCCAATGGGCCCTCAGCTCAGACAGTGCCAGCCTTCCCACTCCCACCCCCACCCCGAGGGAGATGTGCCAAGATGTTGTTAGACACACACGAGCACTGTCTGGCAGAGGAGGAAGAGGAAAGATTCTGTGGCTGATGATCTTCCTTCCCACTCAGATGGAGCACCCCCTCACCCCAGGGAGGGAGAAAAGCTCACTTTGCCCCATACCCCACTTCCCCACCCCACACCCTGGCTAGAGACCATCTCTAGCTCTTGCTCACCCTCTTTTCCATGGAACTGAGATTTCACTAAGATCCAGTCCGAGCCTCTCCGATCAGCCTGGTCCTCTACCCCATACCTGCCCCAAGCCCAAGACAGAAACCTCTGGCTTCTGCCTCTGGCCTCCTCCGTAGCCTGGCCACCAGACTCCTGTGTGACCCTAAATGAGGCACAGCCTCTCTGGGCCTCTGTCTTCCTGGCAGGTTTGCTGTGCTCCCCTCTAGCGTGAAGCCAGGTGACACTCTTAGTCCCAGGGGCCACCTCCCTGCCCTCCTCCCAGGGTGACCTCCCTTTCAGGCTCAGCCTCCCACCGACCTCCTGCCCCTGCCCACCTTCACCTTGCCCTGGCCACCTAGAACTGGGACACCCTGGGGATTTGGGAGCAGACCCTCAGGAATGAGGCAGGTGGGACTAAAATGTGCCCTAACACAGTGAACAGGGTGGTGGGAGTGAGACGGCAGGATGGCCATGATAGGCAGAGAAACTGAGGCCCAGAGAGGCAGGGTACAGGTGGTCAGGTCTCCTGATCAGGTCCCACACTTATAGCTCTGATTTTCTGAGAACGGAAGCAATCATTGATTTTCAGGGAAAGGAGGCTCATTGAGGGAAAGATATTCTTCCTCTGACACTAATTCCTGGGAGGAATTTATCTTGTATACCCTGAAGAAGGGTCACTGAGGTGTAGAGATGCTTGAAGAAGCTTAAAGACTTGTAGGATCTAGGGGGCCTGTCTGCCTACTTACACACCTTCATTGCAAGGAGCTCACTATTGTACCATTATGGGGCAGCCCTGATGGTGAAAAGCCTCTGTGTGGAGCTAAAATCTCTGGCCATTGCTCTTGGCTACAGGGCTGAGGAGGCCCCAGCTAGTGGTCTAAGCAGGGGAAGCCAGGCCAACGCTACAGGCCTTCTCTCCCACCAGTGCCCAGCCTGGGCTGGAGCTGTTTCCAGGCTGCATGGAGTCCTGCTCCTGCCAATCGGACGGCTTTAACCCTGTCTGCGACCCCAGTGCTCATGTGGAATATATCACACCCTGCCACGCAGGCTGCTCAAGCCGGGTGGTCCAGGACGCTCTGGACAAAAGCCAGGTGAGTCAGGCCTAAGTGGCAATCGCTGCCCCTCAGGGCTCTGTCTGCCCTGTCTCTGCGGGCCTGCCCTACTCTCCACCTCGGCATGCTGTCACTTTCTTTTCGCTTCTCTCTGTCTCTCTCTGTTGGCAGATGTAGAACATTATTCTCTCAATAAGCTTTCATTGGCTGGGTATGGTGGCCCACGTTTGTAATCCCAGCACTTTGGGAGGCCAAGGCAGGTGAAAGACTTGAGGTCAGGAGTTCCAGACCAGCCTGACCAATATGGTGAGACCCTATCTCTACTAAAAATAAAAAAAATTAGCCAGGCATGGTGGTCCATGCCTGCAATCCCAGCTAATCAGGAGGCTGAAGCAGGAGAATCACTCGAACCTGGGAGACAGAGGTTGCAGTGAGCCGAGATCGTGCCATGGCACTCCAACCTGGGCAACAAAGCGAAACCCCATCTCAAAAAATAAAAAAAAAAAAGCTTTCATTGCCAGCCTGGGCCCAGGGCACAGAGGTGATCCATTCTGACTTCCAGATCTCTGAGCCGGGGAGATGCAAAAGGAAGAACTCCCAGGAATTCCAGACGGGCTGATAGGCCAGACAACTGGTCCCTACAACTACATACAAAGCCGGAAAGACACATCCCACCTGGGCAAGGGTGGGTCCCAGAAGCCTTCATGGAAGTAGCATTTGCGCCAGACCTTCAAGAATGAATGGGGAAACTAGAGCTTGGGAGGGAAGGGCTTTCAGGCAGGGGGAATGGCATAAGCGGAGGTCTGGAGGAACACATGTGCACTTGCAAGCATGCACAGTGTTTCTGTTGGAGCAGAGGCATAAGGATTCATGAAGGGAAGGTAGGGCCCAAAGCGGGGTCTTGAATGCCAGGCCAAGAGTGGGGACTTTCTGGAGAGCAGTGGGGAGCCATGGATGGGTTTTCAACAAGGGAGTAACAAGGTCAGATCTGTGTTTAATCACACTTGAGGCCATAATGTGGGGCAGGTGAGCAGAGTACAGGATAGGACACAGAAGGCCGGTGAGCATTCAGTCAGTCAGTCAGTCAGTCAGTCAACGAACTTTCACCCATCTCTTCCTATGTGCCAGGCCCTGTGCTGGGAGCTGATGACTCAGAGCCAGGGAGCCCAGTGGGGAAATGAGGGCAGTATAATCAGTAGCAGTGCATTCTGAATCTCAGGAAGGTGAAGACCAGCTGGTTCCTCCTCCCCTTTTTCCTCAGTCCCCCAAAATGACAAAAGGGGACAATGTCTGCCTTCTCAGCCCTCCAAGGCTGTAGCCAACCTGGGGGACAGGGAGGGAGACAGCAGCATCAGGCTGGTTGTTATGACAACATCTCCCTCTCTCCAGAGTCCTCCCACCTCTCACTCTCCTGCTGGGCATCAGCATCTAAGCCCGAGGCTCCTCCAGGGAGAGACCTGGGCTGCATCAGCTGGTGCAGAAGAACCTGTTGATGGTAGGTAATCCTTCAGAAGCCAGCCAGACACCACCTGGGCCTGGGAGCCCTTCCAGAGGCCCTCAGACCTTGGCAGGTGGAACAGTGAACTCCTGCGGATATGGGTCCCGGTTCAAACCTCTGTTCTGCCTCTAACTGACTGTTACCTTAGGCAAATTATTTAACAAGTGCCTCAGTTTCTTGGTATGTAAAATAGGGGTGATATTATTGATTGCCTACTACAGAGCAGGCAATGTGCTGAATAAATGCTTTACATGGATGAATTCATTAAATAGTAAGAGAAGGGCCACATGACGTTATCCATGAAAGCACACAGCACAGTGCCTAGGAAATTTTAAACACTCAGTAATACGCATTCCTATTACGCCCATTGTACAGATGAGAAATGGAGGTCCAGGAAAGGACCAGGCATTGCCCAGAATCTCAATACCAGGGCTGGGACTAGACAGCAAGGCCTGGCCTCCCAGCCAGCCCCCTTTTTGGAGCTTCATGGAGACTTGGATTTAGGTGCAGAATTTGGAGGAGGGTGTAGCTGAGGCCAGGCCAGCACTCAGGAACTGTCATCACACTGGCCTGGAATTGTGTCTTGACATGTTTGCCTCCTTGGATTGTGAGCAGCTTGGCTCAGGGATGGGTGGCTCAGCGCCCAGCACAGCTTCTTGGTAACAGCTTATGAGTGTGAGAGCAAATGAGGTGAGATGGGGCAGGTGGATGACTGCACAGGCATGTGGCTGAATGCTCTGGGTTCCGGAACGATGCTCCAAGGCAGCAAAGGGATTGAAGTCATTCATAAGAAAAACTTCCTGCCATAGAATTAGATGAATGTGACTGAAGGGTCAGGAAAATCCCAAGCGAAGTCTCCAGCCTTTGTGTTCATCCCAGCAACCCTCTGCTTCTGAGAAAAGGAGCAGGGGCAGGATGTCTCCCTTCCTGGAAGCTTGCCTTAGCATTTCTCCATTTCTTGTTCCTCCACTGTATCTCCAGCCTGTAGGTGGAGGTTCAAGGGCCACTTTTCCTGTGGTGTAAGATGATACACACTTAGGGGTCATGCACAAGGGTCAGCACAGCCTCATCCTGCACACTGGCTCTGCCGGCCGTTGGAGACCATCTGGTCACCCAAGCCTAAGTGCTCACGTGCTCTCTTTCTCCTGCCTTTCTCTGATTCCACCTGCTAAGTAACTTCAAATCCAAATCCTTTTACCCATTCACCCACAAGCCCACTCTCTGTGATGGGCCCCTTAGCCTTCCTCCCCCATCTGGTCCCTCCTCCGTGCAGCCCCAGAACAGACTTTGTACATCCAGTCTCACCTCTCCCTTGCTTAAAACTCTCCCCAGGCCCCCAGCATCCACCTCAGGGCTTCCCAACCCTTTTCACACTAGGAAGTGTCTGCAGCTGCCAGGGCTGGAGGTGAGCGGCGCAGAGGGCTCCAGCTGCCCAGGCGAGCCAGCCACCTCCAGAGCTGATGGGACCAATCCCTGCACACCTGTCTCCCATCTGAAGCCCTGCATGGCTGGGGCATGAGTCTAGAAGCTCTGATCTATGGGAAAGTAAAGAAAAGCTCAGGCTTCATGGCTTGGCCTGGCTTCTATCGGGTGCCTGTGGGCCCTGGCAGTCCAGATTACTTCTCAGAGTCCTTGGCTGGAGGTTTTCCTGGCTACCTAGGGAGATAGTGCAGGCTGGGATCAGACTCTCCAGGGGGCCAGCCCAGGGGCATGGCCAGCCTGAGGATGTTTTCTTGCAGTTGGTGTGTAGAGTGTGGAGAATGATGCTCTTCTGGGTCCCTCCCTGTTCTTCTCTACTTCCTGCTTCCCTCTCCCTGACCATCGCCTCAGCCCAGGCTCAGCACAACTTGCGCATAGACAGCCCTTGAGGTGCCTGCTCCTCAAGCTGGCCCTGCTCAGCAACGAGTCAGGATCTCGGGCTCCAGCCGGCTCTACCCCAGCTGTCTGTGGGTCTTGGGCCTTTCACAAGCCTTCCCTGCTGCAAGCCCTTGGCCAGCTGCCTGCCCTTGGAGGCTCTTGAAGTCTCTTCCCCCTCTTCCCGTTCCAGGTTTTCTACACCAACTGCAGCTGCGTGGCGGGGGGCAACCCTGTGCTGGCGGGATCCTGCGACTCAACCTGCAGCCACCTGGTGGTGCCCTTCCTGCTCCTGGTCAGCCTGGGCTCGGCCCTGGCCTGTTTGACCCACACACCCTCTTTCCTGCTCATCCTGAGGTGAGGCCAGGGGCAGGTGGATACCAAGAGGTCCTTAACCACAGGCAGGACAAGGAATTCCAAGGGGGAGTTCAAGGAAGGAGGCCACTTAGGTGTCCTGGCCCCCATGACATGGCCTTAACTGGATTCATCCCGCGGCAACCCACTGAGGCGAGGTTTTCTCCCCATCTTGCAGCTAAGAAAACTGAGGTTCAGAGAAGTTCAGGAGCCAGCTTCTGTCACATAGCAAGTGTTGGGTGGAATAGTACTGGTTCCCTGGCCCAGAGCCCAGGTTCCTACTTGCCCAGGGGAGAGGAGGACACACCTCGGGCCCTGTCCTGGCCTCCGGAGGTGGGGGCATCATACCTGCAATGGATGAGCTGCAGGAGGTGCGTCTCGGAAACCAAACTATGCCAGTCTGGTGCATGACTCTGAATGCTGCTTCAAGGCTGCAAGTGCTTATTAGGTGCCCACTGTGGACCCAGCCCATGCTGAGCACTGCCTTTTGGGCCAAGATCTTTGGGGCCCTCATCCTAAGGGTGCCCACTGGCCCTGAAAAATTGTCACCTGAGTTCAAAGTCAGGGTCTCCTAAGGTGGGGGCTGGGATAAGAGGACTGAGTAAGAAAAAAGCAGTTTTTCTTTCTTTTTTCGAAATGGAGTTTTGCTCTGTCACCCAGGCTGGAGCACAATGGCATAATCTTGGCCTACTGCAACCTCCTCCTTCTGGGTTCAGCGTTTCTCCTGCCTCAGCCTCTCTAATAGCTGGGATCACAGGTACCCACTATCACGCCCAGCTAATTGTATTTTTAGTAGAGATGGGGTATAACCATGTTGGCCAGGCTGGTCTCGAACTCCTGACCTCAGTAATCCACCCACCTCAGCCTCCCAAAGTACTGGGATTACAGGCATGAGCCACCGTGCCTGGCTAGGTAGAACAGTTTTTCTATTTCTGACAGTCAACAATCAACACAGAAGAATTCTGTGACCAGAAGTGTGAGGGTATTTTCCCACACACCAAGCATGTGATCAATTGTGCAGGGGACCCCAGCCAGTGTCCTCCAATTCTACTCTGACACGATCTACCTGGAGACAGCGTCAGATTCCACAAGCTGAGCACTCAGTTCCACAGGATTGTCCTTCCTCTCCCTATGCCAACCACAAGCCTCAGGTTGTTTTCCAGTGCTTCTGACCCACCAGCCATACACTGGGATTTCCACAGCCCCATCTTTGAGTTTGCTTTATTTGCTAGAGTGGCTCACAGAGCTCAGGAAAACATCTGCTTAATGTTTATCAGTTTATATAAAAGATATTACAAACAATACAGATGAAGTGATGCACAGGGCGAGGTATGGGGGAGGAGCTTTCATGCCCTCCCTGGCTGCACCCTGCAGGAACCTCCACGTGTTCAGCTATCTGGAAGCTCTCCAAAGCTTCATTATATGGACATGATTGATTAAATCACTGGACATCAGCATCACCTTAACCTTCAGCCCCTCCCCCTTTCCTGGAGGTTGGGGCTGAAAGTCCCAATCCTCTAATCCTGCCTTGGTCCCTCTGGTGACCAAGCCCCAACCTGAAGCTACCTAGGGGCTGTCTGCCATCAGTCGACACATTAGCAGACAAAAAGACACTTCCTGCTTTGAAGACTCCAAGAATTTTAGGAGTGTCTGCCAGAGACCAAATACATATCTCACAATATCACAGGGACCTCAGAGCAAGATAATTTCCATTTTCCTTCTCCTGGGATTATTTTATTCACTATCTACTTTCTAGGAAATTAGAAGGGAAATGGAGCCCCTCACAAATACCAGAAGACGTGTAGATCTACAACACGAGCTGGCCTGGGAGGGAAAGTAGAGGAATCAGATGCCCAACAGGCAGCCTGGCTAAAAGGAGTTGAGAGCATGGGCTCTGGGCTGTGTGGATGCTGGCCCTGACCCCCGTCAGCCATGGGATCTTGGCCAAGTTATTAATCTGTCTAAGTGTCAGTCTCCTTATCTGTAAAATGGGGCTAATGTATACCTAGCTCATAGGAATGATGTGGGGTTGCAGGGTAGAATTACTGAGCCTGTAGTAAGCACTCCATAAATGCCCGCCACTGGTGTTATCTGGTAGGAGCCAGAGGATTGCAGGCTGTAGCGTTAGAGTGGTTGGGGATGCTGGGGAAGTGTCTGGCTGTCCAGGCTCCAGGTCTTGCCAACTGTAGGAGCAAGGGGAGAATTTGATAGGACCAGTGAGTGGAGAAAGAGGAGTGATGTCTGTGACCAGAAACATACCGAGGTCAGCACAGGACCCTGATGGTTAGTGGGTGTATTGTCTTGCACACGGGACCAGGCTCCACAGGTTGAAAAGGGATGACGTACGGCCCTGAGCCCCCCAGGCTGGATCTTCAGATGGGAGGGAGGCTGGCGCTGGGTGGTGGGAGAGAAGGGCAGGATGAGACCCTTCAACGTTGATGCATGGCCCTTGGGGGTGGAACCCTCCAACCTCATGTTGCCCATGTCTCTGCTTGTTAGGGGAGTGAAGAAAGAAGACAAGGCTTTAGCCGTGGGCATCCAGTTCATGTTCCTGAGAATTTTGGGTAAAGATCTTGCTTGGAACCATTGGTGGTAGTGATGGGGTCCAGAGGCCCACTGTGTGCCAGGCCTGGGGCACAGGCATAAGCAGAACTCAATCCCTGATCTAAGGGCTCATAAACCCAGGGGTGACAGACCTGGCCCAGCTCTCCTAGAGCAGGGTGTGCAGGCAGAAGCTAGCCAGCCCGTCAGGAAGCCACCTCAGATGCAGGGGTGGGGCAGGCTTCAGGGCCAGAGAGCCAAGAGATCCCAGTAACCCAGAGCCCCTGAGGGGTTGTACATGCCAGGGAGGGGGTAGGGCAGGACGGTTGACCTTCGTTGCCCCTGAGCACTGCCTCCCTCAGCCTGGATGCCCAGCCCTGTGATTCATGGCAGTGCCATCGACACCACCTGCGTCCACTGGTCCCTGAGCTGTGGGCATCGAGCTGTCTGTCGCTACTACAATAATGACCTGCTCCGAAACCGGTGAGATCTGGGGTGGCGGCTGTGGGAAGGGTGCTGGAAATACTCTGAGTCCCAGGCAGGATACCAGCAGGGAGGGGAGGTTTCATTTAAGTCTACCTAGCTGACATGCAATATTATACATTCAGTGCTGAGCTCACCAGTCCTTCAGGCTAGACACTGCCTTCCCCTTTTGTAGGTGAGGCAAGTAAGAGTGAAAGCGAGTAGCTCAGGGTCACACAGCTAATAACTGGCAGAGCTGGGCCTTGACCACAGAGTCTACGCAGGAACGTGGCGAGAAACAGAGGAGCAGCCATGATGTGAGAGGGACTTGGGGTGACAGGCTGGGGAGAAAGGCCTGTCTAGGACACAGGAAGCCTGTGTTTCAGGCCCAGCTCTGTCTCCCTCATCATGGGACTTATCTTCCCTGGGGCTCAGTCTTCCCACCTGTGCAATGGGAAACTCAAAGGAACTTCCCATCTGTGCAATGGGGAACTCTGTACAGAGGCGGCTGGCCTGGGATGGATGTGGAGAGGTCTTGCTACCAGGGCTGGGGGCAGGGAGCTGGTCACTTTCAGCTCTGAGGGGGTGAGGAGAGCATAGTTCCTGTGGGCTGGAACTGTCCACAGTGGGGGCAGGGAAGGGGTGCTTCCTAGAAGAGGAAAAGTCAAACAAGGGTCTTGATAGTTAAACAGGGGAGAGGGGATCCTTCTGTTCTTGTGGCAGGTGGGGCAATACAAAATTGTACTTGTCAGGCCCCCTAAACCCTTAGACAGGTTCGGAGAGAGGCAGGGCCAGCCCAGGCCACATAGCAGAGTCCAGGACAGGACGATGAAGATGCCCAGGCCTCTGCTCCCACCCAGGGCTCCTTGGCAGAGCCTCTCCCCCTCCTCCAGGGAAGAGCCCCAGCAGAGGTCACTGTCTCCCTGAGGCCTCAATGTCTCTGATTCCACAATGAGGGATGGCTGCTGATATCCATGCCCTGGCCTGGCAGCTCTTGAGTTCAAGGGTCCCTATTCTTTCCCCAGGTTCATTGGCCTCCAGTTCTTCTACAAAACAGGTTCCATGATCTGCTTTGCCTTAGTTTTGGCTGTCCTGAGGCAGCAGACCAAGGAGGCAAGGACCAAGAAGAGTAGATCTGGCCCTGGCCTGGAGCAGCAATTGCTAGTGTCAGAGCCAGGGAAGAAGTCGGAGGACTCCCAGGTGTGAGCCGTCCTGGGGACCCACCTGGCCAAGAGTGGCAGCCACAGCAGTACCTCCTCTGGGCCCTTTGCCAAAGATTGGGTGTCAAGAGCCCTATGTTCCATTCTGGCTCCTCCACTAAATTGCTGTGTGACTACGGGTAAGGCATTGATCCTCTCTGAGCCTTTGCTTGCTAGTCTGAACGTAAGAGTTGTTTGGGGTTTGCTTGTTGGGCATCTTTGAAGCAAGAGGGTCTTCCTCTTTATTCCCCTAGTCAGCCAGGTCCAGGCTTTCTTGGGTGGAAGGACTGCATACCTTTCCCTGGGGCCTAGGATAGCGAAATGGGCTGTAGTAGGCCAGGCTGCCCTCCATGCTGGGCCCTAGCCCAGGTCTACACTTGCCTGGATCACCTTCTCTGAGCCTCAGCCTCAGTGGGAATGGACTCGCCAGCCTTCAGGCTCATTCAGCTGACCATCTGTGCGGCTAGCGTACATTCACGTCTCCTTCCCAACTCCAGCAGCCTTTAAGAAGTGGCCCTTTGGCGCCCCCTGGAGGCAGAGCACTGAGCCGGACTCTGGATAGACCCCCACAGGGAGGAAGCAGCTGGCCTTAGGTGCAAACACCCAGATTTGGCAGGGCCTTCAGGGGGCCTGTGGTGGGGCCTCAGAAAACCTTAGCTGAAGCGGGAAGGCTCACTCTCCAACTAAGGAAGTTCTAGTCCTTGCCTTCGAAAAGCCACGGTTAAGGTGTGAGGCCCAGCACCTGTCTTAGGGGCTGTGGGTGGGCAAGTCTGGACCCTGGGGTAGGGAGGGAGATTCAGGCTCAAACTTGGGTATTTTCTAATTTCAGAAAAACACACTCAGTGTGCACTCACTGATCCCTACACATTGCCAAGATTTCATATATGTGACCAGGGGCCACCAAAGTCTCTGCGACTTTTGTGAATAGGATCCTAAGTTCTCTGTTTCCTCCTGGGTGCCTGGGTCTGTGTCACCTGGGGCTGCATGAATAATGTCTAGTTCTGTGACACTGTTTTTTCGGGAATGGCACCTGGTTCTCCAGATGCCTGGGCTGGCGTCATGCCCAGGACTGTAGTGCTGGGAGCAGTAAAGCTCAGCTCTTTGTAATAAGTGATGCTATGGCTTGCTTGGATCTGATGATCCAATCCTTTTCTACATGTTTTGTTTTATGGCTAGTCGTATCTGGCCTGGTTATTTCCCTGTGGGGAGGAGAGAGTTTGCTGATCTGCTCCCAGCCCAACCTATTGTCACTATACACCCCACCTGGCTGGGACCTGCTGCTTGGGAGCAGCAGACAGGGAGCCACCAGCAGTGTGGCTTCCTGGCCCTGTGCTGGGGGCTGGGGGGAAGCTGGGGTAACATGCAGCTCTTGCCTTCTGAGAAGCTCTCAGTGCTTGGGCTTTGAGACTTTCCCAAGTGATAAAATAAAAAGGGTAAATTAGTTCCATTTGTAAAAGGGTTACTCTCATACTCCTTATGTACAGAAATCACATGAACAGTAAAGGTTCCATAATGCATTAAAAAATAAAATAATAAAAAGGAAAGGTACATAAGTTCCAATTCCCTTTTTATTTTGCTGGTTGGTATCTGAAAATGTTTAAAAAATATCTGATCCTGTATGTATCAATGCTAAGAATTTCAGTCTCCTCCAACAATATGAGGCTTTTAGGATATTTATATTCCTTCTTCCTCTATGAACACATAGAGCATTTTCCCAGGTTTTACAAGGGAAAAAAACATCTGGAATTATAGACACAACTTATTATTAAATTTGTTTTTGCATAATATCTCTTCTATTACAAAAATTCTTTCTTTGTAAACTGCATTAGAGGTTTGCAATGACCACATCATCTCCATTTACTTAGATTTAAGTTTTACTGGATTCATTGCTCACCATTATTGCTTGTATATTACATCTTTTCCTGTCTTTATATTCTGGTCTAATTTTTGTTTGACTGAGTGACTTCTTCTACTAATGGTTTCAAAACTGGAATAAGGTCACGAGGATTTTTGAATCCTCACCTGTTCAAATTGTCATTCACATTTTACAGAAGAGGAAATTGGCTCAGAACGCACAAGTGACTTCCCCAGGTTCACACAGAAAATAAATGATGGAGTCAAGGTTGGTTGGAGACCAGGTGGGAACTGAAGGTTTTATAATTTGAGGAGCCCTCTTTAAGAAAAATATACAAAACTGTGAATATAAAATTAGGTACAAAGTACCTATATTTACCTATAATATAATGAGAAAAGAAATCAAAACAGATACATCACACAGTCCCCAAAAAATGTATAATACTTTTATTAACTGGCCTACATAACCTGTAAAACACATTTTCTCCCCTGATGATTCAAAGAGTTTTCCACAGACTAGCTTCTGGCTCCGTACATTTCAAACCTGGTTTCTCCTGTTTCTTCTCTACTGCCCATGTACTTCCTGGGCTGGGTGCCACGAAACACATTTGTATCACGATATGACCTCTGCATATGGCATCTTAATATCACAATGCCAAGTGAGTTGGGCAGTGGGTAGAATTCCTAGAAGCTATTCTCTACACAGAGATGACTAGCAATAATTTATCTATACATAGAGAACCACATAGATATTAATATATCCTCTGTTTCAGAGAACCCCATAAATATATCCCAGTGAATGCCAATCAAATCAGCCCCCCACTTGGCTTCCCCTTGGTCAGATCCCAGAAGTGCCCATGGCCACTCCAAGGACCTTGTATAAAGGAAAATTGAAACACAAGGGAAGTTGGAATGGAAAGAAAATAATAATCTTGATTGTGTTTAATGTATCTTACCTTTGCCAATTTTACAAAACTATGGCAACATGAACACATCGCTGAGGACCTCCCTGGATCTGAAGAGAGTTCTGGGTGCTCAAGCTGCATTCACATCACGGTGAGTCCATCTCTTGGTTGAGTCAAGATCTGAAGGAAGAGATGAGGTCCTTGTGCCTAAAGCCTTCCAAACTGGCCATGGTAAGGAGACTCAGGAGTTACCCAAGAGAGAAATGGGTTGGGAGCCAAGGAGTGGAGCAGATCAGGGCCAGAGGGGTTTCCAGGCCCTGTGGGGGCCCCGGGGAAGTCCTCTCCCCTAATCTAGCCTCTTGTCAATGAAGAGCCACAAGCATTTGCATCGACGAGCTTACTTTCTTACCCTGTACCATGAAGCTGGGAGAAGACATTAAGTCTCCCTGATAAGATTCTGCTGGTGTAAAGTCAGTAGAGAACAGGACTCAGACTAGAACTGACATCCTGATGCCTAGGCCTGAGGTTTCTTTTCTTGAAGACCCTGGGAATGTCTGGGATGCTAGATGCTGGGAAGTTCCAGGGCAGGCAGATGACCCATCAGGATCTGGCATCCAGGAGTCATGTCATGACTGGCATGCAGATAAGTGAGAGGGAACTCATGGGCATCCTCACCATTGCCTGAAGGTGTTGAATTTTTTCCCCTTCACATACCTTTGCTTATGCTGTTCCCTCTGACCTTGGTTACCTTCTTCATCCCCACCCTACTGCTTGTCTCTCCGTCCCTACTTCATATAGTCCTACCCAATCTTCCAGGCCCAGCTCAAAGGCCACCAACTCTAGGAAGGTAACATGGTACAGGCAATGGCGGGGGGCGGGCGGGCAGGTGACAACAACCTCTGAGGATCTGATCAAAGACATAGACTGTCGATTAAACATAAAACACACAGACATATACACAATTGTGCATCATATTATTTCAGAGGTTGAAGACCATCTGATGCCTGGGTGTAGACCTCCTAAGAATCCCAGATCCCCAATCAAAAGCCCTTAATGGAGTGAAAAGATTAGAGCTGTGGAGAGAGTCAGACTTGGGATCAAATCTTGACTCTGCCACTTATTACAGTGTGGCTATGAACAAACGATTTAATATCTCTGCTCCTCAGTTTCCTGAGGTTGAGCATGCCTAGCTCCTGTCTCCTAGAAGCTGTGACAACCAGGTAAGAAAATGTACCTGCTCACAGGCACCACACCTGACAGTCAAAATTGTAAGCTCCCTTTCCCTTCTGTCCCTGAAAAACTTAACGCACACATAGAGCATCAGGCTGGGAGGGTGCAGTGATGACAGAGGGGGGAGCACACCTCCTTTCCCTACCCTGGCCACAGCTCCATTGTCCCCTAATCTCTCCTCCACTGTCAGCCAGGGCTCAGCCAGCCCGGCCTTATCTCTCCCCACAGCCAGCTTGGGACAGCTTTTCTCAACCAGATTTACATTTTTATTGATTTTCTTTCTCCCTTCCAGAGCAGTCCCTCCCTTCTGCTTCCCCTTTGGCTATCAAATGGGCTTACCCTGGGAAATAGCAGTTCTGGGGCTGGCCAAGAAGTGATGGTTCAAGGTTGGATTCATTCACCATTCCTTCATTCATTCATTCATTCATTCAACCACTCATGCAAGCAACATATACTGCATGTCTGCTCTGTGCCTCTCTCCTGGCACTGCTGGGGACACAGCCATGTGTCAGGTACAATCTCTACTCAGGAAACTCAGTGTAAACAGACAAGCTGACAAACAGTAACAGAAGCATGAATAGTCATACAGGAGAGGGAAGAAGAGGAAGCCAAGGACTCTTCCTGGGGCCAATAGGGAAGGCTTCCAAGATGCTATATCAGAGCTGGCCTTAGGAATTAGATGGACTTCCTCAAGTGGAGAAGGTGGGAATGGGCAGGAGGAAAAACAGGATGAGCAAAGATAGAGAGAGATGGTGACAAGAGCAATGTGGCTAGGGGGCACTGCACGTGCAGGGCACTCAGGAGACAGAAGAGAACGGAGGCTGGGAAGACCAGCAGGGACCAGCTGTGGAGTTCCAGCTGAAGGTTTGGATGCTTTCCCGAGGGCAAGGAGGAACCCCTGAAGCATTGATTGATGGATTATTCCATTGGCTAGTTATTTTAAGCAGGGAGTGACATGACAAGATTGGTATTTTGGAAAGGCCACTGGTTGCACCATTGGGGCTTTGCGTGGAAAAGAGAAGCTGAAGGCCAAGAGCTCAGGCGGGGGCAGGTGCCACAATCAAGGGAAGTGGGAGGGCTGGAGCCAGGTCAGGAGAGGCATCCTGGAAGTGAGACATCTAAGGCGAGTCTGGAAAGGCGAGTGGGAATGCACCAAGGGGAGAAGTTGGGAAGGGTGTCAAGGCAGAAGAAACTGCACAAAGACAGTAAACAGAAAGCTCCTGGCAGGCATGGGATATTCCACTAGTTTAGCAGGGCTGCAGCATGGCCTGAGAGAGAAGACATGGGGAGGGTGAGGCTAAAGAAGTGGGTGACGCCCTCAATGCCACTCAGTGCTGTCCATCTCCTAAACCTAACCCCAGGTAAGAGGAGAGGGAGGCCTCACCCTCTGTACAGAGGTGGCTGTACAGGTCTGAGCCCTAGAACAGGGTGCTCCTTAGTCCAAACAAACCTTTTCCTGTTCATTACACTTCACATTTTACAAGGTCCCTTTACAGCCAGTCCTCATGGTTTCCTGGTGAAGAAGGCAGGAAAGGGATTTTTATTGCCACATTGTAGGTAAAGAAACTGAGGCCCATGAAAGTGCAGAAACTTGCCCAAGGTCACTGAAGAGCCCAGGTATCCCCCTCCTAAGACTCCCATGTTGTTGCTAATAAACCTATTTGTCCCTGAGTCACATATACACAATAGGTGTAGTAGGGGCTGATTAATATGGTTGGGATGAAAAAAGAGGGGAGAGAAAGCACGTCAGAGAAAGAGGCCTCTTTTTTATGTCTTCGTTTCCTCAATCTTCATCCTGCAACTATGGACATGCCAGCTGGGGAAACAGAACCCAGGTCCCTCTGCTTTGGAATTCAATAGACAGGAGGGACAATCCCAGCTCTGCCACTTACCAGGCATGGGAAGTCTATGCACTCATCTGAGCCTTGGTTTTCTCATCTGCAAAAGGGAAAAATAAGCTTCGACCCATCAGAAACATTGAAAGGATTTAATGTGATAAAGTAGCAATATAGTAATCTACTGCTGAGTAACAAATTTCCTGGCTGGCACAGTGGCTCACACCTTTGATCCCAGCCATTTGGGAGGCGGAGGCAAGAGGATCACTTGAGCTCCAGAGGCAACATAGTGAGACCCCATCTCTCCAAAAAATAAAAAAATAAAAGAAACTTAGCCAGGTGTGGTAGCACCCACACCTGTAATCTCACCTACTTGGGAGGTTTAGGTGGGATGATTGCTTGAGCCCACTGCAGTGAGCAGTGATTGTACCACTGCACTCCAGTCTGGGTAACAGAGCAAGAGCCTGCCAAAAACAAACAAACAAACAAACAAAACACACCAAAAAACAAATTTCCCCAAAGTTTAGTAACTTAAAACACAAGTATTTATTATCTCATAGAATTTCTGACGGTCAAGAACCCACAGATGAGCTAACTAGAAGGTCCTGGATCTTCATTAGAATTTCTGTAGTCAAGTGGCAGGCAAGGCTGCAGCCATCAGAAGGCTCAACTGGGGTGAGAGGATCCACTTCCGAGTTCATTGGAAGGTTGGGATTGGGCCTCTGTACTTTGTTGGCAGTTGACCAAAAGCTTTGGTTCCATGGTGTCTCTTATGATCTAATCTTGGAAGTAACATGCCATAATTTTTGCCATATTCTTTTGACCGCATAGACAAACCCTGGTATAATGTGGGCGCGGAATATAAAAGGGCATGAATACCAGGGGGTATGGATCATGGGGAGCCATTTGGAAGCTGGCTACAACAGCACCAAGACCAGTGCCTGATACACAGTAGGTACTTATTTATTAGTCACTGCTATAACTCTTGCAATGACCTATCACAGTCTGGTTGAGAAAACAAGATCTGGACATGATAAGGTGAGAGATCTTTGGTGAAGTGAAATGTAAGTTGAATTAAACAATGCTCAATTACATTAGAAGAGGGTG